GTGAGAAAGCATGGGGGATGATCATTCCTATTAAGAGAGGAAGATACATGTGAGGTCCAATCATGCGGTGCAGCGTAGTTTTCATGCTATTTTGGGTCGCCAAATGAGCATCGAATAACAACAGCAATAATGACGGTCAAAGTCGAGTGGTCAAAGTGATTGAAAGATGCTTGATTTGCTCCTCGGAATCTCTATTTACTCAGATAATTCTACATGTACTTTCAAATTATACTCATATTTTGCACTTCTTATAACATAACATGTCTTGATTGCTTGATTTAGTAGGAGGTCATGATGTTTATCCATTTTTTTTTTCCTCCAATCAAATTTGATCACAAGTGGGAGTATGGTTTTGAAAGTACATCTAGTATTTTGGTTATTTACTTAAAGAAACGGCGCCGTTTTTTGACCGCGGTCCACAGTATAATTTGCCTGGTGACACAGTATTACGTGGATTATAAAAAAATACACTTTTAATATATTAAAAGTATATTATTTGTCTATTGAATATATATTATACAAAATAATATACTTTTAATACTTAAATAATATATTTTTAATGAATATAAAGTATATTTTTAATATAACAAAAGTACATTATTTATGTACTGAAAATACAATATTTAATTAATATATAAAATAATGTAGGCTAAAGTGTCATCCCGCACCATGAACCACTCTTGATTATTCATGCCGCACCATGAACTTTAATAAGTGATATTTAGAGCCATAAACCAATTTTTGTTTTTCGTCTAGAACTTTTTACAGGTTTCCTACAGGTCACCGGTAATAATATTGCTGACATGGAATTTTTTATTAGTTTTTTTTTGATATTTTTCTTCTTTCGCCTTCGTATTATTATTATTATTATTATTATTATTATTATTATTATTATTATTATTATTATTTTGCATTTTTTTCTTTTTTCCTAAACATATAGGCCCGCTCTGCGTTTTGCTTCTCGTTTCTCCGATTCCAAACTCCGCAAAGCAGGCCTGATCAGAGAAATGAGAAGCGAAAAAAGCAGAGCAGGCCTATACGTTTAGGGAAAACGAAAAATACGAAAAAAATAATAATAATAATACGAAGGCAAAAGAAGAAAAAATTAAAAAAATAATAATAAAAAATTCCACGTCAGCATTATTATTACCGGTAACTTGTAGGAAACCTGTAAAAAGTTCTAGACGAAAAAAAAATTATGGTTTATGGCTCTAAATATCACTTATTAAATTTCATGGTACGGCATGAATAATCAGGAATGGTTCATGGTGCGGGATGACACTTTAGCCAATAATGTATTTTTAGTATTCAAATAATATACATTTATGTACAGAGATAATATATTTTTTATTTATAGTATGAATCATGGTGTACAGAATAATGATTGTCGAGAAAAAGGGTAAAACCAAAGCTTGGTGGAGCGAGCTGAGCTGAGGATTGGATGCATATGATGCCTTGATGATCCTATCCGCCCAAGTTAAAAGAATTAATGATAGGAATGCATCTATAGTGTTGTGCCGTACTTAGCCAAATCAAGCCTGTCACGGTTTCCACTCACCAAAAATGGCGTTTCCTAATCCTGTGTCACATCTTGATCTACCCCCTCAGCCCACCGATCATTATTTTGTGGACCATAGTTCACACATTTGTGTGAATCACAGCTTAAAAACATATAAAGTATATTATTATAACTAATAAAATAAATTATTTTAACACATATAAAATACATTATTCTAACTCATAAAATACATTATTCTAATATATAAAGTATATTATTCTAACTAATAAAATACATTATCTTACTTCAGAATTTCATTATTTTAACACATAAAATATATTATTCAAACTCATAAAATATAATATCTTACCCCATAATATTTTTTATTTTAACACGCACACGAAACAAATTTTTTTTTACATCAAAATAATATTGTTTTGTATCATAATCCACACCGCTGTGTGAATCACGATCTGTAGAATACAAATAAGAAGAAAATGGAGAATTGATTATATATTGTCTCTTGTCTAAACCTCAATACAAGCACTCTATTTATAGTGCCAACAAGATGATGAAGAATGAATACAAAGAAAACCAAGAGACACATGGAAAACCCAAGAGACATATGGAAAACCCAAGAGACACATGAAAATTAAATTAGATGATTAATATCATCAAATATCTCAACACCCCCTCTCAAGTTGGAGCATGCGGATCTGAAATGCCCAACTTGTGAAGAAGAAATTCAAATTGCCTTTGCCCCAGAGCCTTTGTGAAGATATCAGCTAATTGCGAATTGGTAGGAATGTAGGAAGGGAAGATCAAACCATCTTTAATTGCATCGCGAACAAAATGACAATCCACTTCAATGTGTTTTGTGCGTTCATGAAAGACTGGATTCTTTGCAATATGAAGAGCCGATTGACTGTCACAAAATAACTTTATGGTTTTGGGATGATGAACCCCAAGACTTAACAACAAGCCCTTTAACCATTTGAGTTCACAAGTAACGGCTACCATCGATCTGTATTCTGCTTCTGCGGAAGAACGAGAAACAGTAGTTTGTTTCTTTGTTTTCCACGAGACTGGAGAATGGCCAAGAAAAACCAACCAACCCGTAAGCGATCGCCGAGTAGTAGGACATGCGGCCCAATCCGAATCACACCATCCCTGTAGCGTTAGATCACTGTCTGCTCGTAGGAGAATCCCTTGACCCGGTGTACCTTTCAAATAACGGACAACTCTTAAAGCTGCCTCCCAGTGCTCATCATGTGGTTCTTGCATGAATTGAGACAACACATGAATAGAGTATGCGAGATCCGGTCGAGTTACGGCCAAATAGATAAGTCTTCCAACTAGACGCCGATAAGCTGCCGGATTAGAGAAAATTGGGCCACTAGCTAAGCCGAGTTTGTGGTTTTGCTCAATAGGAACATTAACCGGCTTGGCCCCCAACAATCCTGCTTCAGAAATAATATCAAGGGTATATTTCCTTTGACACAAAAACAGTCCAGAAGCGCTACGAGCAACCTCAATACCAAGAAAGTACTTTAGAGTGCCGAGATCTTTCATATGAAAACAATCGCTGAGATAAGCCTTAAATGTCTTTAGAGCAGCAGAATCATTCCCAGAAATGATGAGATCATCGACATAAACAAGTACATTTATCTGAATTCCACCCCGAGTAAAGGTGAATAAGGAGTAGTCGGAATAGGATTGTAAGAAACCATACCCTTTCAAGGCCGTAACAAGTTTCGCAAACCAGCACCTCGGTGCCTGCTTTAATCCATACAAGGACTTGCGCAATCGACACACTAATTTAGGATCGGATGCCTCAAAGCCTGGGGGAAGCTTCATATACACCTCTTCATCGAGATTACCGTGCAGAAAAGCATTATGCACATCCATCTGATGTAGTTCCCAATTTTTAGAGACTGCAATGGCAAGAAGTGCACGAACAGTAGTCATTTTGGCAACAGGAGCAAACGTTTCAGTGTAATCGATGCCTTCTTCCTGATGATTACCAAGAGCCACTAATCTTGATTTGAGTCTTTCAATCGACCCATTTGAATTATATTTGATTCGATACACCCAATGACTCCCAAGAGCCTTTTTCCCAGGTGGGAGATGTTCAAGAGTCCAAGTTTGATTGTCTTCGAGGGCCCGAATTTCATTTGTCATAGATTCTTTCCAGCCGCTATGTGTCATCGCCTCTTTAAAAGATTTTGGTTCTTTTTCAGAAAGAATTGCTGCCATAAAAGTTCTGTATGGCAGAGAAAAATTGTCACAATTAATGTAATGTGCTAAAGGATAAGGAGTACCTGAGGGAGACTGTGGAGACGGTGTGACGGAGGATGGACTTTTAACAACAGTAGAATTAATAACATAGTCGCGCATCCACACTGAAGGAACTTTATTTCTCATACCCCGACCCATCTCAACATTCTGATCTTGGTTATTCGGAACAAGATTACTAGTGTGTTGTTCAGGCTGTGAGCTGAACTCGGGTATGGAGTCTGACTCAGGTTGAGAGGTTGGCTCGGGTGTAAATCTTGGCTCAGGTTGAGGGTTTGGCTCGTTTGTGGAGCTGGGTTCCTCCTCATCGATGATTGCAGAAAAATCTTCATGAACAAATTCTTCATGAGGAATGGTAGCCGTATCTGCGAGGGGAAAGGGAAAAACATCCTCAAAAAATTTCACATCACGGGAAACAAAAAATTCTTTGGTTTCAAGATCATACAGCTTCCAACCCTTTTTCCCAAACGGATATCCCATAAAGATGCACTTTCGACTCTTACTAGCAAATTTATCGCCTTTTTCTTTTTGATTGTGAGCAAAGCATAGACATCCAAAAACACGAATTGTGTTGTAAGATGGAGGACTACCAAAGAGAAGTTCATAGGAACTTTTGTTATCAAGCAATGGTGTTGGTGTCCGATTGATCAGATGTGCGGCCGCAAGAACACATTCTCCCCAAAAATAAATTGGCAAACTAGCTTGAAATCGCAAAGCTCTCGCTACATTGAGAATATGTTTATGTTTCCGCTCAACCCTACCATTTTGTTGAGGAGTTCCCACACAAGAAGTTTGAAATATAATTCCAGTGGCAGGAAAAAAAATCACGCAAGCAATGGAATTCAGTACCGTTGTCACTCTGAACGACTTTGATTGATTGGGAGAATTGTCTATCAATCATAGCGACAAAAGACAAAAACATTTTGAGAACCTCAGTTTTATCAACCATCAAATAAATCCAAACTGCTCGCGAATAATCATCTATTATAGTCAAGAAATAACGCGCACCACAAGAGGATTGATGTTTGTAAGGACCCCACAAATCAAAATGTATTTTCTCAAATATTCGAGAAGCTCTGCTATTACTCAAAGGAAACTTTTCTCTAGGTTGCTTAGCACTAAAGCAAACCTCACAAGCTTTATTAAAACTTCCCACAGTTCCAACAGAGGGAAGTAGCTTTACCACTTTTTTAGATGGATGACCCATTCGTTGATGCCAAAGATTGATTGAAGTGGTCACACCATTTACTGTAAGATGTTGCACTGATTCGGTTCCCTTGAAGTAGTAAAGTCCATCCCGTCTAACACCCGTTCCAATCAGCTCCCTCGATTGGTCCTGTATAGCACACATATGAGAGTTAAAGAGAACACTGCTCTGCATATCATCATTTAACTGAGATACAGAAATAAGATTGCAACTTAAAGACGGAACATAAAGAACATGATGAAGAATAATTTTGTCTGTTAATCGAACCGAGCCTTCTTGAGTTGCAACCACTGTTTTTCCGTTAGGTAAACCAACAGGGCAATGAAATATATCTTTTGCATCAGTCATCCGAGTGGAATCACCAGTAACATGACGAGAGGCCCCTGTGTCAATTATCCACAATCGTGCATCAAAATTACCAGTCAATTGATCATCAGAAACCTTTGTACCACTAATTAGCCCTGTTAATGCCTTCCATTGGTCCGGTGAGAATAAATGAGATGAGGGAACTCCACAGCTGTCAGTGGGCTTTTTGGTTAAAGTGGCATTGGCACGGGGAACACCTCTACCCCGTCCACTGCGTCCTCCACGCGCGTTGTTGCCACGATTCTCATACCAATCTGGATAGCCATGTATTTCGAAGCATTGAGATACGTCATGGCCAGATTTCTTGCAGTGAGTACAAGAGAGATGAGATTTGTCTGGTTTATCAAAGCGACCACGACCCTTGCCAGAACCGGTATTGACAGCAAAACTCATAACTTCTGGTGACTTGTCTTCGGGGATTGTAGTTAAGCTAATTGTCTCTTCTTGAAGGACCATTTGATAAGCACGGTCAAGTGATGGTAATGGATCTATGGACAGAATATTAGTGTGAACTTGTGCATAATACTCTGAACAAAGACCCATTAAAAATTGATGTAGCTTGCTATTTTCTCGTCGTGCCTCATGTTCACTGCCGGCGGTACAAGAGACACAACAGGAACATTTAATAATAGGCTCATGGGTATGTAATTCTTCCCATAGTGCTGACAACTGGCCAAAATATATGGACACAGACATATTCTTAGACTGCTCACATTTAACAATAGATGATTTTAATTGTTGAATGCGTGGCCCATTAGTCACTGCAAATCTTTTCGCGAGAGTATCCCATAACTTTTTGGCATCCCTGTATTTAGCAAGAGAGCGTTTTACCTCAGGACTAATAGTGTTCATTAGCCAAGAAATAAGCATAGTGTTGATTGTGGTCCAATCCGACTGAGAACAAGGTGGAGTCGGTCCAGTGATCGTTCCATTAAGGAAATCAAATTTTCGTCGTGCCTCCAACGCCGTTTGTATGTCAGCAGCCCAATCATCATAGTTGTTTCCGGTCAAACGTGTCGGGGTTATGAAATCACCCGGTCAATCTTGAGGACCAAGGTAAAAGGAAGAGTTTGGTTCAATTTTGGGTTGAGGTTGGGGAGGCTGCGCCAGCGGCTGGTTGTCGTCGGCCATGGATGAGTTTATACGCAGGTATAAACCTTAGCGACTGATACCATGTAGAATACAAATAAGAAGAAAATGAAGAATTGATTATATATTGTCTCTTGTCTAAACCTTAATACAAGCACTCTATTTATAGTGCCAACAAGATGATGAAGAATGAATACAAAGAAAACAAAGAGACACATGGAAAACTCAAGAGACACATGGGAAACCCAAGAGACATATGGAAAACCCAAGAGACACATGAAAATTAAATTAGATGATTAATATCATCAAATATCTCAACACGATCACACAATAATTTGCCTATCAGCCTATTATGATTCTTGTATATAAATTTATTTTCTACGTTGCCTAGTTCGTAGTTTTTCATTAAGAGAGATGCAAAATTACACGTACTACACATTACAAAAGTTTGAGACAATGTTTATTGGCTTAATTACTAAGACAATTTAGTAACCACATGTGTGTAAATTAAATAACTTACAATGATTATACATTGTATAAGAGGTAATAATTAAGGGATGGAATTTTAAAGTTTTTTCTAAATTTATTTTTTCGGTAAAATTTTTTATTATCTACTGGATATAATAAGAGCTAATAAAGTTATGCTTATAAAGGAAATTAAAAAAGGTTGGTGCAATTATTGTTGAAAAGAATAGTTTACTTTTCCTAAATACCCCCGCATTTCGTCCTTGTAAATTTTAATAACGAAATATTTCGTTAACTATTTATTATTCTTAACTTACTCATTGATTTCTATAAGGAAGACCGTCTTAGGTTCGAATCCATCCCAATCAGAGTTAACATAATTGTTAAACATATACTATGAATATGTTAGAGTTTATTAAAAAATATATATATATAATGCACTTTCGTCAATTACTTAGCCAGACTATATACGTAATATTCAAAGTTGAGCATCAAGGATTAGAAATAAAGCACCTTCAAATCAGTTTCATGCATTTTTTTTTAAAAAAAAAATCTAGGTTAATTTATTTTTTTCTTCCTTTTTTTGGTTTAATTCATATTCTTTTGATTATATTTAGAATAAGACTCTATATATATATATATATATATATATATATATATATATATATATATATATAGAGAGAGAGAGAGAGAGAGAGAAAGAGAGAGAGAGAGGAGTGATCACATGTGGCCATGTTGTTAGGTGTGGTCATATGGTCAATTATAGACCATTAGATTAGATAGATCTAATGAATCATATTAATCAAGATTTTTTCAGTATTTTCGCGCACATTTTCCTACCCAGCGAACTGTAAGGGTAAACTTGTCATAAAACACCGGAATAAGGAAAATCACATTGTTGTGTGTTTTATTACACTATTGGTGCATGTTGTCAACACTGTTGGTGTATTCTGGAACTCGACCGCAATAAATGGCCACTGTAATTACCATAACACAGGAATACACCATTGGTGTGTTTCACTATGGTTTGTTTTGTTACACTATTGGTGTATGTTGTCAACACTGTTGGTGTATTCTAGAACCCGCCCGCTATAAATGGTCACTGTAATTACCATAACACCCCCACTTACTAAAACGCGCGAAAATCCTCAGAATTACCACAGCCTTTAGATTAAACTGATTCAATAACACAGATACGACCACACGACCACACCTAATGACATGACCACATATAAGTGTTTTTCTATATATATATATATATATATATATATATATATATATATATATATATATATATATATATATATATATATATATATAGGGATGCACTCAGGTGCGAATAAGTGCCCAGGAAGGAATATGCGAACGAATCAGCGCGCGACACGTGTCCAGATTTAATAACTTAAAAAAAAACACGGTGGCATTTTCGTAAATAATTGAACATCGAAGTGCAAGTAAAATCACTTACAAAGTTACAAGTGCACCTACTTTCACCTATTAGTGCATGTAATTTTGCCTTGTTAGCATTCACTTTCCGCCAACATTCATGCACCTGGGTGAGCTTATAACTATAGGTGCAACTATTTATAACTATATGTGCAACTAATTACAACTATAGGTGCACCTACTTTCACCTATAAGTGCATGTAATTTTGCCTTGTTAACATTCATTGATCTGAGTTCAGCGGGTAGTAATACCCTTGAAAACCACCCGCAAACATTCATGCACCTAGGTGCAACTACTTATAACTATCTGTGCAACTACTTAGAACTATAGGTGCAACTATTTATAACTATAGGTGCACTTAGTATTGATGCTCATTGTAAATTTTTACTTGCACCTATAATACATTTTACATGCACTTGTAATACATTTTACTTGCACTTTGATGTACAATTATTTATGAAAATGCCACCGCGCTTTTTTAAAAAAATCAGTGTTTCTCATCCATTAGATCTGGACACGTGGACGGACATAATCCATTCCTATTTCGCGCATGGGCGAAGCATTCGCACCCCAGTGCGTATATATATATATATATATATATATATATATATATATATATATATATATATATATATATATATATATATATATATATATATATATATATATATATATATATATATCGGGAATGAATCAGGTGCAGGAATAGCTAACCGTGCGGTTATGCGGATGGACACGCATTACGCATTAAACTGACGCAAATTAAGTACACAATAGAGAGAGAATAATGCGATATTATTTCTCTAGTGTTTGGCCTTCAAAGTGCCAACCTTCTACACGATGATCCCAGTGGGATATTTATACATAGATGTAGGTTTCATACATGGTAAGTAAGGCTGGCGTGCAGCCACGCCCAAGGGGGGATAGGGCTGACGTAAGTGCTGACGTGCTGTCAACTTATTGCATTTTCCATACGAACTAATTAAAGAAGCTAAATAATGAGCGAAGATCGCCTCCGTAGAATCTGCTGAACGCGTTTCTGGGTGTGTGCCCGGTCGGGAATGGTCCCGGCTGTAGAGCTTGGTCACTCGACCGGGTCCCAGAAAGGCATATGATTAGGAAGCACCGCTCGCACGGCCTAGTCGCCCGCCCGAACCCCAGGGGTGTCTGATCGGAGACACGCCGACCGCCGTGACTGGTCGCCCAACCGCAATGCATCCGAGAGCCCGCCCAGGGGTGCTCCGGCTAGCGGGCTGGCCGTTCTAATAGTGCTTGACGGCCATTGTGAGGTGCTTCGCATCGTGGCTGAGGGGTCTCTAGCGATCCTCCCTTTATTAAGTATTGAGCCGTCTCTTTGTCTGGCTTCCTTATCTGACCTCTCATCCCGGCGGCAGATTTGGGTATCAATCACCAGTCCCTCACTTTTTTAGGTTTTAGCTGATCGTTAACCTGAAAAAGTAAAGAAAAAGAAAAGAACACAAGTTCCTCAAGCACCCTGACCGCCTGCTTCTTGATTCGCCCTGATTCGTCCGCAACCCGAGCGGGTTCTCGGCTGATTCCGTTGTTCCTGACTAGTCCCGCTGTTCCTGACTGGTTCTGCGGGGGCGGTACGGTCGCGATAGGCTTAATTATGACTTTTCCGCTAATTCCGCCGATTACGTCTTCAAAACGTGTCTCTTCATAACCATCACCTCAAATGTAACATCAGCGCCCCCCGTCTGTCGGATCTGAGACACGCGTCACGATCTCATTGCTCATACGACCTTATAAATACCCCTCTTCCTCCTTACATCTTCCTCCTCATGCCTCTCAACCTTATCCCGTCCTTCCACCCTCTCTTCTCCAACACTACGGGATAATACCCGGTTGGCTGACGCCCAATGCTTGCTGCTCGCCGGCCACCTTCCTCACCTACCGTCATCGCCTTAGGGTGGAGGCTTCTGTTCCAATAGTTTTCCCAGCCTGCACACGTAGGCCAAGTCTCCCCGGGCTTGGTACAGCCACTGCCGCGTCAAGAAGGCAACCACCAAAAGGATCAACGGAGGGGGTGAACTTAGAGTAGACAGGTCGACCATTTTTTCTATTTAAACATAACCTGCCCTTCGGGGCTTTAGAATGTGAAACTTGCCAGGCGGGCCTTTTGTTTATCAACTGCTTTCCTTTCCTTCTGGCCTGTTTATTTTCTGAGTACAACTGTCCGCCCGCGTGGCACGGACGGGCTTTTAGAGTTGCCACATCCTTCGATGGGTGAGGCAGGCTGCCTACGAGCCCCCGAGGAACTTCAAAACTCACTAAGTCCCTCAGTGGGTGAGGCTGGCTACCTATGAGCCCTAGAGGAACTTCAAACCTCGCTAAGCCCCCCAATGGCCGAGGTTGGCTACCTACCAGCCCCCGAGGAACTTCA